GCAGGCGTGGGTCGGTGCTCGCCACGAGGGTCGGGCGGGCGAGGCGAGGCGGACGCGGGGACGAGGGAGCGGACGGCGGGGCGGGGCCACCCTCCACCTCGTCCGTGTGCGGGGCTTAGCCTGGGCTCCGCGGCCTCCGCTTGCACCGGACGTAGACCCAGGCTGCCGGTGGGCAAGATAGAGGACTGAGCCCATGCACGCACGGCTGGCCAGGTAGGGCACCTGAAGTGCAGATCCGCCAGGCCCGCTGCCGGCCTTGAATTCGCGCTGCTGGGCAGTTTCCAAGAAGACGGGATCTGTCCCAAGAGGGGAGGTAGGGCAGGAGTGCCAGATGCCGGGTTGGGTGCGGTCTCACAGGAGAGCCACGGTGAGAGGGCGCAGAGCTTCCCTTGTGTTGGCGGGGCTAGGAATTTGGGGTATGGGGTGGGGATGGTGTATGCCATTCTCTGTGGTCTCCCCAAGAACTCTCACTCTCAAGCAAGGGACCCTGCTCCCTCCACCCTTCACTGCATCCCCTGCCTTCCCCAGCACCACCGCCCCTGCCCCAGAGTGTCCCATGACCTCTCCCCACACCGGGCACTGTCCCTGTTACAGGTACTGAGCTCCTGGTGGTTCCAGCCCGAAGGTGGGGGCTGTATCTGACCAGTTAGGATGCCTGGAGCCTTTGTATGAAACCTCATACCATAATGCAGGCGTGCACAGAGGCCCCTCAAACAGGATTCCCTGCATGGCCCTCCCCACCACGCACCCACAGCACAGCTGCCACACCGGACCAAGCCTGCGGGAGGAAAGCTGGTCCCTCTCCTCCTGTCCCTGATCAAGAGTGCACCGCCCACACTGCTGGGTATTTAGTGGGGCTTTGAAGAGCAGCTGGTATTTTCATGGGCAAATATTTGCTCTTTTGGGAAGATTTGAGTGCAAAGGTATGTAGGGTATGCTTTTTCTGTTGCCCTGGAACTGGTGACTAGGATGCAAACTTAAGTCAAAGCAGTTTTTAGAGAGAGCCGCAAAATATCTAACCCAAAGATCACTGTTCCCCAACAAAGGCAACACCACCTGGCGGGTGGGGGCCTGGCCCCTCTTTCTGGAGGTTGGGGTTTGCACCCTCCAGCTGTGACAGAGCCCGAAACAGCTCTGAACACGCTCCAACAGGCTTTCCCAGCACAAACTGCCTTTATTTTGAATCTGGGTGAAGAAACCAGCTGAGAAATATGGGTAAATCTTCCCTGGTGTAACCATGCCTTTTATGCTGAATGGAAGAGCGGCTCTCCACATGCTAACATCTTAGAACTGAATGTGTGTCGAAGCCTTCATGCATGTAGCTTGTTGGGAACAGCGTTTCGTGGTGAGGGGAACTATATAACTTACATGTGTATGGGGAAGCCCTCACTCCAACAGGCTTTTCCTGCGCAAACTGCCTTTATTTCGAAATTGGCTCTTGCTGAGAAATCTTGGTAAGCATTCCTAAGTGTAACCATGCCCATTATGCTAGATGAAAGAGCGGCTCTACACTTGTTCACATCTCAGAAATGAATGTGTGTTGAAGCCGTCATTCATGTAGCGTGTTGGGAACACAGAGTTTCGTGGTGAGAAGAACTATGTAAATTGCATGTCTATGATGAAGCACTCGCTCGAACTGGGTATTCCAGCGCATACTGCCTTTATTTCAAAACTGGCTTCTCAGAAGACCTGTGGTCTCCACTGCAGGTCTGTCTCCAAGCCCAGGGCCAGCATGGTGACTCTGCTCCCCCTGTCTATTCTGGGAGGTCTAGGTGTCCTCCATGGCCCTTCCACCATTGTTTCTTTTGGAAACACCCCGCAGATGAAATGGGCCTGAGAACAGGAGAGCTGGATGCCAGCAGCTACTGCCCAGTGTTTGGCTCCTGGGAGGGGCATCTCCTCTCCGTGGGCTCTGATCTCCCCTCCCCTCTCCCCCACCACCACCCCTCTCCTCCTGCATTTCCTGATTGATCCCTGGATAATGGTCCATAACAGGAATGACCTGGGAGAGGTTTTATGAGTCTTTAAGGGAAAAAAAAATCTTTAGACAAATTACTGAAAGTAACTTCCAGCTTTCCCGGAAAAGTCCTCTTTCCAATGATTATGGCT